AGACGGAGAAGTTGACTACGATAAAGTAGTAAAAGAGATAGAAGATATGGATATGCCAAACGCAATAATAACAAAACTTATAAATAATTCTGTAAGAATGACAATATTTTGTTATAGTTTTTTATTTTTATTTTTATTTTGCGTGTTGTCCTCGCACAAACCACGCGTGTTTATTTTTTTTTCTTCCTAATGATATTATTCATATATCAATAGAGTGAAATGAATTAAAAAAAACGATCCCAACAACTTTTGACTAATCGCTTCTTACACATCAACAAAAAAGCTAGGTAATAACACAATACAGGATGATGCGAAATTAGCAGTAATAAGATCAGCCACTGCATTCATTAGTCATATCACCTCTGCGTATCCTTTTGGTGTTTTTGTAATTTTCGTTTAGATATTACGATAATTGTAAAAGTCCTTAATCTTTCTTAAATTTCCTAAATAACAGCGCTAATCAAGTGGCAAAAAGTAAAAACCGTAAAAACATACAACCAGCCGATCTATTCAAAGCTTTAGAGAAAGGCGAATTTGAAGAGTTTTTACCGAGATTAAAAGAAGAGTTAAGTTGTAAGTGCATTAAAGGAATTTCTACCTTTTTTTAATAAAGGATATTGGAAGCTAAATATGACGTTCAATGCTAACCCACAAACTTTTGGCGGAAATTTTTCTAGTATTTCAAATTGTACAAAGAAACAAGAAATTTGATAAAGTAATACAGTCAGTTGAAGAAGAAGAATTATCAGGACCAACGGTCATCAACACTCCATCGGAAAGGGTTATTGTTGAAATATTACCGCATAATGTTATTACGAATGATTTATCAAATAGTGATAATAATGAAACTACTGAGACTGACATTGATAGTGGGAATGGATCTAAAGGAAGACGAAGACATTCTAAACTTCCAAAAAGTATGGTAGAAGTGGTTTCTGTTAATATAGAAAATATTAGTAATAGTATTACACCAACTATAAATGGAAAAATGAAGCAAGAAAGTAATGAAACTGCACAGGTGGAGAATAATATAGAAAAGAATGATTTGCTGGATGATGGTAGTGATTTGACAAGTAATATCGGTTCAAGTAATGATGAAGGGACGAGTGGAGCTGAGTAAGTTGCTCATTAATGAGTTAATAAACAACATAATTTTTTTTTAAAATAAATAGATTTCTTCTTATTTTGTAAGTATAATACTATATTTATAGAAGAAACCGAGAAGAAAACTTAAGTCTGTAATTAATGGCCGAGTTTTCTGTATGTTTGCTTATTATAATATAACTTTATTCAATCAACCTGACAATGCTATTCTAATACGGATTTATTGCAAAATCGTAAAGGAATCACCGGAAAATTTAGCATTGAAAGACAATATTGCAATGTATCTTATTTAAAAATAAAGAAATAACGCGCAGAAAAAAGAGGACGTGCGATAGTTTATAAAAATGATACGTTGAAATTGTAAATGAGCAATATTAATGGAGCAAATGCAAAATCTTGTAATTAATATAATAATAATGGCCTCAAAAACTTACTTTGCACTCGTCATTTTTAAAAGAGAAATTTATAGGCGAATTTATTTATACTTTTTAAAAAGTAACTAAGCCATAATGGTAATGGGCCACATTATAGGAAAAATTACTGGTAGATTTTAAATAAACAATAAAAAAAAAAAATTTATTTTAAAACGAAAAAAAAATGACAAGTATAGCCAAAGAATTATTAAAAAATTCCGCTTATCCAATTTTAAGAGATTCACACAAACAAAAAAATTTATTTGAATTAATAAATGTCTTTCCTAATTACGGTGTCGGACTTAAAGTGGTTCGTGCTGAATTACCGCATCAATTTTTACAATTTTTATTAAAAAATAATATTTTGAAAATTTTTTATTTTAATAATGATACGATTGATATGAATTATAGGCACCGAACCATTGGATTAAGAAAGGTATTCTTGAAAGTTATTATGAAGTTACAAAAGTTAACCCCAGAATGAAGGTGAGTCTCATTTTGAATTCAAAAAGTTTTTTTAACATATTTTTACTCACGTTAGACTCTTTTTGTCGAGTAGAACATCAATCACGGAAAGGCATTCGGCATTAAGGTTTGGAAAGGTGAGTTTATAAGTGAAATTATTTAAATTAAATATCAAAGAAAATTTATTTTATTATTTTTATTATTATTATTATTATTTTAAGGTAAAGTATTAAATGAAGAGCGAATTCATGGAGCATTGAAATGGAGTTGGTATAGATGGAGAGAAGGAAGAATTGGTAGATGGAATTAAAAATTTTTTTGCTTTTAATTAACTTGACGCGTTTATATGAATTTTAATTAAAAAAAAATCCTTTCATAAAAAAATCATTACAATTTTCTATTTTTTTTTTTTTTTTTGTCTAAAATTAATTAATTCATCCTATATCTTCGTTATATTGTCTATTAAGATATAAATAACTAAACGTTTAAAGTTCTTTGTAATGACCCAAGCCCAAAATTCTTCTCCACCATGAAGGTGGCGTGGAATCATCTATTTGTTTTTGTTTAGCAGCTTTATCTAATGCTGCAACAAGTCCAGAGTAATATTTTGGATTCGCTGCTGGTGTATACATTTTATCTGAAAGAGGATACTATGATCAAAAATAAAAACATTTAAATTTTCTTTTTTTTAAAAAAAAAATTTTTTAATCGAAACTTACCTTTTCTTTAAATTCATTTGCTTCCAACCTTCTAAGAGCATTCAATTCTTTTTCTGCATTTAATACCAAATCATTATATATATTCTGATCTTTAACGACTATATTTTGTTTAAATCCTTCTGTAACACGTAAATGAAGTACTTGTTTTAAATTACGATTTGGTCGTAAATGATCATTTGGCCAATTTTCAATAATACGAAGAAATCCACGGTAAAGTGATAATATTTCGGCTTTGGTTGAAGTTGACATTTGCGTTATATGATAATTAAATAATAATAATAATAATAATCATAATAAAGGCTTTTTTTTCGAATCAAGAATTTTCATGATAATCTAATTTTTTTTATTGACGTTACACGACCATGAATGCCGCAGCAATATTGTTCCTCGATTTTGGGGTGAAATAAAAATAAAAGGTTCTTGGAATAAAGAATATCCAATTTTCTCCTCATAATCTTTTTTTTCTCTACAAATGTCAATCCTAGATGATATTGAAGAAGTTTCTTCACAAATCTTATCTTCTTTTCCTCCTTCCTTTATTCAATTCCTAGAAACGAACGATATAGACCCAACTATTTACACAGTTCAATCATTGCCTCGCTATATTCGTTTAAATACACAATTTCCTTCTTCGCAACTTCCTTCACTTTCTGACCTATCCTCTCAACTTGATTGTACTCAAATTCACCAAATTCCAAATTTTCCACATTTTTATTCTCTTCCTTCCGTAATAAAAATTGTTAATTCCTTAGCTTATAAACAGGGGAAAATATTTGGCATAGATTTAAGTTCAGCCATAGCAGTTTACTCACTTGATATTCATCCAAATGATCAGATATTGGATTTGTGTTGTGCTCCTGGTGCAAAATTGTGTTTAATTTCTAATTTATTAGATAGTAAAGGGGTTGGAACTATTACCGGTGTTGATATCTCTAAAAACAGATTATCCGTTTGTAAAAATTTATGTAAAAAATATAAACTTGCTAAAGTTCGATTATTTCTCGAAGATGGAACAAGGTTTAATGTTTTAGCTCCTTCTTATTTGGAACCTATAAAAAAAATAATTGAAAAAAATCGAATTCAAAATGACAATAAAAATGAAGTACGTGAATTAAGTTTTAAAGAATTTGGTGAAATTCAATGTTCAGATAAAAATGATTTGATTATTACGCCTTTCTGGACACCTAAAATATTGAGGAACGATCCGCAAAAACGTGACAATAAATATCTATACGATAAGGTATTGTGTTGTAAATTTTTTGACACGCGATTTTTGGTTATGAAGTAAACTGGATTTATTTTTTAAGGTTATCGTGGATGCGGAATGTACTCATGATGGTTCGATTTCTCATATCCTAAAAGTTAAGTTACCTTTTTTTTTTCCCCCTCATTCATTAGAAAATTAAAACATTTTATCCCTATTTAGTATGAGAAATCCGGATGGGAGAATTTTGAGAAAAACTTTTTAAATCCGGATCGCCTTAACAGTCTTTGGGATTTACAGGTACGCATTCTCATCTTTATCTAACTTTACTTCAGGAACCTTTTCTAACTTAATTTTAAATTATAAAGCGAGCTTTATTACAGAATGGATGGAATCTTCTTAAGCCAGGTGGAATATTAATTTATAGCACTTGCAGTTTATCAAAAAAACAAAATGAAGATGTAATAGGATGGTTTCTAGCTAATTATCAAAATGCACAATTAGAAACGATTCCAAATATTGAAAATTTAAAAACTGCCCCGCCAAAATTGTGTAATAATAACGTTGATTTATTTAAAGTTGCAAGATTTGATCCTATACATTCAAAAACATCAGGATTTTTTATCGCAAAAATTAAAAAGATAACAGAACCTTAGATTCATTTTGTTAGGATTGCGGGTTTTGCTTCCGTGATTTGTAAAAATTCTCTGCATATATCTTCCGACATCCTTTTTGTTAAATCAATTGTTTTATCTTCTGAATTTTCTTTTTTTATTTAAAATTTATTTTGAAGTTGATTTAATTAAATTATTTTGATACAAAAATTATAAAAGAATGAATATTTCATAATGATTAAATACCGAATTCTACGGTTAAAGTTGGTTTAACATCCTTTTCTTCCAAAGCAGTAACTTCAATCGGCAAACTCGGATTGTTATAAATTATTCGAGGTAAATTTTCTTTCTTAAAATATCTATGAATTACAATCGAATCTTTTTAGAGTGAACCAAAAAAAAAAAGGGGAATTAATTAATTAATTACCTTGCTCCAGCGTTGTTGTTCCTTTTACTATATACCAATGATACTTTTTTCACATTGGGTCCGAATTTAACAGCTCCTAATCCTGTTTGTAAATTTATTATCCTCGATGATATATTGGAAATTGGTATCTTTTTAATTATTTTTGTCGACATTCCAAAGAACCTTATTTTCTATTATATAATCGTTAAAAAACCCGGACCGGTTATAAATTTGAATCGGGTTAACCCGGTTATTAATCCGATTACGAATACCGGTTCCAACCTCTAGTTTATACTTCTCCGCAGTAATACGTCATGTAAATTCACTGAAGAGTTCTTCACAATTTTTGCGTGATGTATCACGTATTAATAAAGCGTTTGTCATATGATATCATGTATTTTGCTCAGTTTTTATAGATAACGTCATAAGTTTGAATAATTTACCCTCAAATCTCAGGAATTCAGGTCTTCTAATACATTGTGTAGCACTGAGTTAATAAACATGGCTTTGTAAAATACATGGGTAAAGATAAAAGGTTATCAGCTTATCGCATTGCAAGATGAAAAGATAGGCCATAGGATA